AAAAAAAAAAAAAAAAATGCAAAGGGATGCTTTGGGGACATTGCTGATGACTTTCATTAATGGAGCTGGAGGGTGGAGGAAGAAGTCCAAGGATGGTAAGTGGGAAAGGAGGAATTAAAGAAACTCGACTGTGAGGAGGGCACTAGTGAAAGGACGGCTACTGACAGACGGCCAAGCAGTGAAGAAGGAGTCGCTGACAATCATTTCACTGAGAACGTTCCTCCTCAGACATTTTGTTCATTCTTCTTTGTCCTGTTTTTATAACTTTTACTATTTTAATTCAACTTCATCTGCCCAGCCCTCCCCACCTGCCTTTTACAGGGAGGGCTGGGCCGATGGTTCATCTCTGTAGTGAATGAGCACTGTCTCAAGAGCCTGGCCACCAGGCCGAAGGACCTGCACAGGTTTGACAGGTGAGTTGAGCTACACGGCAAAATCTCTCCTGGTGTTAACAGTGCCGAAGAGGCAGTCCCTTACAAAAACCCTCAGCAAGGAAACACACTGCTCCATTGTTTCAGAAGGCTGACCCTTGCCAAGGCCTGGGAGGAGGACACCATGTATGGTCAGGTCCTCTGACATCAAGGCCATCCTTCTGGAATGGCCCAGCCGTGCCCAGTGTCTCGTGATTCATGCCTTACAGCTCTGGACGTGGGACGGGGCAGCCGGGCAGGAGAGATGACTCAGTCAGTATGCTACTGTTTAGATTTTTCTTTTACGAGGCAATGGTTCTACAGTAAACCTTTTTGCTTCTCTAAAGTCTTGTTTTCTGCTCACAGTGGCAGTGTTAAGAGGAGTTAAGAGGGGGATTATGTGTGTCAAGTGTCTCAAAAATCAACTGCTGAGGACCCAAATCATAACACTAATGACTCAAAGGACTGAACTCTTCACGTGTGTGCCAGGCATGTTAAATTCTCACATACATGGTCTCTTAATCCTCACAATGATCCTGTGAGGATGATACTCTCACTACTCTCATTTTACCAATGAGCAAATGAAAGAGATACCAAGATGTTATCCACTAGCCCAACTTCTCACCATTACCAAGGGATCCCGGGCACTCGGACCTGAGAGCCCACCATGTCACCACTTGCCACTTCACCCTCAGATCCTGCACTGGGCCACTCTTTCAAAGGTATTAACCTTTTGAATACCTTTAAGAAAGGATCGATACTGACTTGATGGCCAAGAAGTTAAGAAAGAGTGGATGATAATCATTTCACTGAGAATATTACTCTTCAGATATTTTGTTCATTCTTCTTTGTCCTATTTTTATAGGCCTATTTTAATTTTCTAATTTGACTTCATCGGCCCAGCCCTCCCCCCTACAACCTTTTACAGGGCCCCCCAGGATTCCTCGGGCCATTTTGGAAGTGCCTGAGCATTCCTGAAGTGTTAGAGCTACCAGTACCACATTCTTCCTGCCCAAGCAGGAAGAGATCACCCACCTGGTGAAAGGAAGATGATCTCAGGGAACACGGAAGGGAGGGAGGAGGGGCTCCAACAGGACTTGACAACGTCACAGTTTTATCTAGAGCAGGGGTGTCCAACCTGCAGCCCTGGGGCCCTCATGCTGACTTTGTGAGGACTGTTTATGTTCATCTGTGGTGTCAGATATCAAGAAAAGTCAGCATGGACTAATTTTTTTGGCTCATCAGCTTTTGTTAGTGCTTGTGTATTTAATGTGTGGCCCAAGGTAACTCTGACTGTTCCAATGTGTGGCAGAGGAAAAAAAAAAAGGCTGGGCACCCTTGAGAGTATCCCTGGCCATTCTAGACAGCTGAATCTGCTAGGAAAGGGTAGACGCCGGGCCAAAGGAAGGCTGTGCCTGGTTCTTCTCCCACCCCAACCTGTTGAGAGAAGAAGTGGTCAGACCTGGCAGATGCTCGCATGAAGAGGACACAGAGCAGCGGTTCTCAACCTGTGGGTCGTGACCCACAGGAACTGTATTAAAGGCCGTGGCATTAGGAAGGGTGAGAACCACTGATAAAGAGGGTAATACCAAGTGCCCTCTTTTAAAACCTCCACACCGCGTGTGGACCAAGAGCTCCTTTTAAGTACAACATGCCCAGTGTCCTGACAAACAGATGGGGACAAAACTCTCAGGCAGTGTCTGAGCACACGGCTGGAGCCAGAGAAGTTACTAGAGTTCCCCCTCAGGGGTAACCCCAGACCTCCCTGCTGCTGGTGGGGAGAGGGAGAAAGGGAGACACATTTCTTGAAACATTTCATAAAAACTTACTTTGTATTATCATCTGGAAGAAAAAATAGTAAATCCGCTAACAATTCCCTAATTTCTCCAACAAGCATGTTTTTCTCCCCAAACAAACTTCTCCTTATATTTAAGCACTCTTGAAGTTTTGCTTTTGCATCAGAAGTGTTTCCAGCAACCAACCTGAAAATAAAACACATGTGTTATTTATGGGGGAGGTTGCCTACATTCATGGTGCTATTAAAAAAATTCCTGGGCGGTGCCCGTGTGCTCAGTGGGTAGGGCCCTGGCCAAACTGCAACAACGACCAAAAAAAGCCAGGCGTTGTGGTGGGCACCTGTAGTCCCAGCTACTCAGGAGACTGAGGCAAGAGAAACGCCTAAGCCCAGGAGTTGGAGTTGCTGTGAGCTGTGACACCACAGCCCTCTACCAAGGCCCGTAAAGCGAAACTCTGCTTTAAAAAAAAAAAAAAATTCTTATAAAACCTTCTTTATTGTGTATAAGAATCTGTCCTGGAAGATAGAAAAAAGAGCAATTTATAATAGTAGAGATGTCTGGACTTTAAAGTGACGTATAAGAAACGACAGCACCATTGTCAACCTCAGCACCATTCACATTGGGGCTGGATTGTTCTTTGTCACAGGGGGCATTGCGTAATGTTTAGCAGCACCCCGGCCACTACCTACTAGATGCCCATGATAAGCCCCCCACCCTTATGACAACAAAAATGTCCTCAAACATTGCCAAAAGTCCCCTGAGCAGAGAGGGGTCCCAAACTGCCCCTGGCAGAGAGCTACGAAGCAAGAGAACAGAAATGCCAAAGGTGAGCATTTCTGACCCGATTCAGAGAGGGGAGAAGTAGACTCACAGGTGTGGGTTAAGTGTATTGATTATAAGAAGAAAGGCTAGCACAGAAAATTCAAAATTTCCAAACCCAATAAAAGCATATGTTTACATCAGAACACCTTCCACGTATTTCGCAGTAGCATGATCATGGGGATTGTAGTCCAATAACCTGGAAATTTTGGTAGCACATTCCAAAAGGTCATTTTCTTTTAAGAATTCCAGAGGCGCTGATTTTGCCAGGTTGTATAGCACTCTGACTGCGAGGAAGAAACGTTGGCAAAGAATAGTGAGCTTAATAAGGCTGTTACCACAAAAGAATTAAGATGTCAGTATACATAGCTTTTTTTTTGGAGACAGAGCCTCAAGCTGTCACCCTGGGTAGAGTGCTATGGCATCACAGCTCACAGCAACCTCCAACTCCTGGGCTTAAGCGATTCTCCTGCCTCCACCTCCCTCGTAGCTGGGACTACAGGCGCCCACCACAACACCCAGCTATTTTTTGGTTGCAGCCGTCATTGTTGTTTGGCAGCCCAGGCTGGATTTGAACCCGCCAGCTCAGGTGTATGTGGCTGGTGCCTTAGCCACTTGAGCCACAGGCAGCAAGCCTACATAGCTTTAATATCATTTCTTCATCATTGCCTATAGCCAGGTTTTTCCTTAATCAATCAACTATTGACCTATACCACATGGGGGGTGGTTTTCATATCATGCTGTTGTGGGTACACAGCAGCGAGAGAGCCAGGGAGCCAAGACGATAGATTGAAACTGAATTCTAAGTCTGTTTGCAGATAAACAGGTCATGGAGTGAGAATATGGAGGTAATGAAGCCAGTCATCACCATGACAACCGAGTTCAACAGAAGGCAGCCAGCAGGTTCCGTAATAAAATACAGTAAAATGATGCAGACTTATGACAAGAAGCACATGACTAAGTTCAATTAATAAATAATGGGTTGTCCCCTGCCTTGGGGATGCACTCTCTGCAAAGGCTCAGCAGTTTGGCTCCATTACTGACAGTTGTGTAATTTTACAATAATGCAGGCTCCTAAAAAGTAGAGTGTTTCCTAAACCATTCTCTGTTATGGGAGGAGAAACCAAACATGGTAATTATTTGGGCTGAAATGAGGGTCCCTCAAAATGTATATGTTGAAGCCCTAACCCCCTGTAGCTCAGAATATGGCTTTATTTGCAGCAGCACCTTTAGCAAGGTAATTAGGTTATCATGAGGTCATTAATGTGGGCTCTCAGGGGTGTCCAACCTGTGGCCCATCGGCCACATGCAGATTATTTGAAAACTGTTTTATGGGTAGTGTCAGATATTGTGAAAATTATGCACAGCCCTTTTTTGCTTATCAGCTTTCATTAGTGTTTGTGTATTTAATGTGTTGCCCAAAGATAATCCTTCTTCCATTGTTTGGCAAAGCAGAAAAAAGGTTGGCCACCCCTATTAGGAAAAGGAGCTCAGGGGACACACATACAACACACATAAGGACCATGTAAGGACACAGGGAGAAGGAGGCCATCTGCAAGCCCAGGAGAGAGGTCTCGGGAGAATCAACTGCACTGACACCCTGAACTTGGAATTCTAGCCTCCAAAACTTAGAAATTAGTCTCTATTGTTTAAGGCCCCTGGCCTGTGGTCCACGGTCACAGTAGCTCTAGCAGGCTAATACAATAATGTTCCTGAGAAGGTATAATTAGAGCACTGCCTGCAGCACAGAATTCAGGTTTAATTATGAAGGATTAGCATTAAGTTACCGGGAAGCACCTCTCACCATCATAAATAGTACCTAATTCACTCTCCAGTGCCCCCTGCACTCTTCCCTGCCCACCACCCAGACAGAAATATCGTCTGTGCCCTCCAGAGGAGGTGACACACAAAACCGAAGTGAGCCAACCCATGACATGATTACAGTCTGTGTGAATGCACAAGAGATGGAATTTGAGCATCTCAGAGGGACCAGTGTGCCCTTGGGCTTGGACATCAGGCCAGCACAGCTGCCTTAGTGATCTCCTGCTGTTCCCGCTTACCTGCCAAGTAATCCGTTCTCAGAGGGTGTCCTCCCACCCCGGCACTCGCTTCTCCTCTAACTGAGAATAAAATCCAAGTGCTGCCTGAGGCTGGAGATAACGGGGCTCAGCACCTCCTGCCTTCGCTCCCTGAGGCTTCTTTCCATGCCCAGGACAGGCTCAGCCTCCCTGCCCTCCACCCTCCGCCCTCAGAGTGTGTGGGCTCTGCACACAGGTGGCTCACCACAGGTGGCTCCTGCAGTCCACTGGATCTTCACTTCCATGTCCCCTCCCCAAAGAGACATACCGACCACTCTTTCACAAGTGTCCTCTGCCCCTGATGCTCGAATGCCATCTCTTGTGCATTCACACAGCCTGTGACCATGTCATGGGTTGGCTCACTTGGGTTCTGTGTGTCACCTCCTCTAGAGGGCACAGCTCATGTTTCTGTCTTGCTCACTGTTTGGGATTCTGCCAATGTTGGTGCATAGCATGTGCTCAGGAAACATTTCCCAACACGTGACCTCTGTTCAGGCTGGAATGCTCACTGCCCCCCTGCCCACCTTCTTCCGCCTGCTTGGGCCCTAAATCCCCAACTGATCCCACCAGGAGCCCAGAACTACAGTATGTGTCCCATGGAGGCTACTGCCAATGACCTTGGTCCCTCCGAGCATCTCATCCCACCAGGACCCCAGACCTGTGCCCCTGCTGATTTGGTCTCCTTGGGCGTGGCCCACAAGCCAGTTTGCCCAGCCCCGGGAACTCTATACTCTGGACTGTCTAGTTCCCTCTGGAGGGGTCAGGCCCAGGTCCCACAGAAGGGGCGCTGGTTTCACCCTGGTTTCCCCTGCTCACCACGGCCCCACCATGCCTGTGATGAGGCCTCCCTGCATAAGGACAGTAACTAGGAAGGTAGGCGATAAATACCAAGGATTTAGGGCTTTGTGAATGACTAGATGAGAATCTGTACAGCAAGGAGTTATCCAGACAGGCTTTGTGGGTCACATAAGCCTGGCATGGCCCCCCAGCTTCAGATTTACCAGCTGCGGGAGCTAAAGTAGTGTAAGTTATTTAATCTCTGACCTTCAGCCTCCTCATTTGTTTTTGTTTGTTTGTTTTGATACAGAGCCTCAAGCTGTCACCCTGGGTAGAGTACTGTGACATCACAGCTCACAGCAACCTCCAACTCCTGGGCCAGCCTCCTCATCTGTAAAGGGGGGGTAACAACACATACCACACGAGGTATATTTGAGGATAAAGGGGATCACCAACACAAAGTGCCTTTGGTACAGTAAGCATTCCACAAATGACAACTGAATGTGAATTTGCAGATGAGAATCGGAGACAGAGTAAACAGCTTGCCCAGGTGACCTTTGAGCTTCTAGCCCTGGAGGCAGATTGTGATAACAGCTGCAAGTCTCCATATCAGCCCAGACCCAACTCCCCTGTGTAGTACCACTGTGTATCTCTTCCTATCAACAGGTGAATAAAGCCTGGGGGGACTTGCTTTGACCAACTGAATGCAGTGGAAGGGGGTACTGTCCCAGTTCTGAGCCTCGGCCAGGCTTCCGCTCTCAGTCTAGTGAGCTGCCGAGGGAGCTATCCTCTTGGAGGATGAGGAACACATGGCCCAGCCACCTGTGTCATCTAAGTGTGGCCTCTTAGGCCAGTGAGCCCCACCTGCCCTGTAGGCTGATCTCCCATGCTTCCTGAGCGAGGCCAAAATCCGCTAAGCCCACCACAGACAGTAGAATCCCCCAGCTGACCCACAGACTCATCATGGACAAAAATAAACATCGTTTTAAGTCACAGAGTTTTTTATGCAACAAAAGCTACTGATAAAGCCATGTAAGTATGACACAAATCTAGAGTCCTCTAGTCCAGCTGTAAATCAGTGGGTCACAATTGCTCATGACCTAAGTTTACTGAAAATTCTTTGTCTCTGCTATATCAGTGGTACCACGGTGGCCTCAGGCATCAAATACTAGAGAATAAAATCATGGCCACATTCATCAATGAGCACTGACCTGGTTACCAGACACCGTTCTGGGTACTTCCTAGCCTCCTGGGAATGTCATTAGTTTCATAATATGTGATGTAGATGTTATTTTATCCCTGCCTTCCAAATATGAAAACCGTGACCCAGAAAGTGTTAAGGTGTCAGAAGGCACAGAGAGCAACATGGGATCTGAACCCAGAAAGGCTGGCTTCAGAGTCAAGATCTGATGGCTCTCCCTGACTGCCTGAAGCGTCCTTCTCCAAGGCTCACCCTCTCAGGCTGTGACCTTATCAAAGGGCAGTCCCTCAGAAGGAGAAACGCTTCCCGCTCAACCCTCCTACACCACCAGCCCTCCCAAAATGCCAAGCCAGCTAAGTACACAAGTCCATTTCCATTTTCTCATGGATGGGAACAGTCCAGGAGGAGCCCCACTGTGTGAAACCCGAGGTCGTTCCCTCTGCCTGTGTCACCATACCTGCCTTCTTCACCAGGCTCTCGCTCTCTTTGATGTCTCTGGGTGAAAAACACAGCAGGTCGGACAATGCTTTCTGGAAATACTGGAACCCTCCTTCAGTCATCCCTATTTCCAGATTCAGCTCTCCGAGAGCATTCTGTACTTTGAAGAGCATATCTGTCATACCTTGGCTCTGCACAAAACGAAAAGGGAACCATGCTTGAGGAGGAACAGCACTCACACAGGTATGGCCACAAGACCCCTGGACAAGAAAGGCTCGCTCCACTAAGAACTTGCAAAAGACTGTGTGACATCATTTCTGGGGGAACTGTAAATATTTATAAAACAATGCTCGTGGTGAAAGATTTATTGGAAGACATTGCCACTAAAAACACATATTTGGAAAACGATTTCACAGGTTGTTAGTCAATGGTAATTATATATATATATATTTGTTGGTAATAAAATTTTTTGAAGATGAACATAACGGTGTCTTGCGTGTGTTAAAGGTTTTAGGGGACGTGGTGTCCAGAATACTGATGGACAGCAGAAAATGCTGCTTGAATTCCAATGAGACCAGAGCTGCTAATTTTATGTTTGACATGTTTTTGTTTAGAGTCTTGAATTTAAATTCCCCTTACTGGCCTAGCATGTTTATTTCAGGGCATTGGGAAAACTTCCCCTTTGCTCTCTGAAGTTTTGTTGAAAAATAGGCTGACAAAAGGCAGATTAATAGAAGGCCCACACTTTAGGCAGATAAGGGAATTTCAAAGACCAACTTCATCCTCTGCTTTAGGACAGAGAGAGAATCAATAAACGGGAGGAGGGGAAGGCCAGAGAGACCGTGAGGCCTCTTATTCAGTGCACATGTCACAGCACCATATCTGGGGACATTGGTCTCTGATCCCCACCAAGGGATACTTAAATTTCATCCTCTATCAAAACCTTGTCAATACATAAGAATATACCAGCTGATTTGAAATGTCAAATCAGTCTTTGAAATGCCCCACACAAGAAATGAATTAGCACTGAGTTTTCTTACTGCTAATATCTCATTTTGGAAAACTTAACATTAACAAGGCATATGTGAGTGTGTTTGGTAACTAATACGGCCCCAAGCAATGGACAGCACTATCATTGTTACTGGCTGAGTAATACTTTATGCTGGACCACTATGTTAGCCCAGGAAAGAATTGACTGAGCCCACTTCCTGGTGTGAATTTAAAGACCTGGAGTCTTTCTACTCTCCTTCACCTACTGAAACTGCTCTCCTGTGTCAAATTGGCCTTCTGTGGCTTGACCCAAGCTTTTCTTTCTTTTTTTTTTCTGTCTTTCATATGATTTATTTTCTCCCTTCAATCATAATAATATGATATTCAAATTTTATCTTAACTGGTGGGTCTATAAACACAGGTTTATTCATCCCACTTCCAGGCAAGGCAAATGCTGCTTCTTAAAAAGGTCCAACCATGGACCCTCTGGTCATCCAACCCAAGTCGCCCTTTACTACATTGCCACCACCTTGGCAATGAAGGACCCTGAGCCTTCTTATCAGAACTGTCACTTCCAGAGGCTGCTCCCCCTTTCCCTTTTCCAGAACTGGTTTTTCCCTCAGGAAGTATCTTTAAAACTTGTCCAACCCAAGCTTTCCAATAGGGATCTTGCAACAGGTTACATTTGCTCTGAGATACTGATATCCTCAGCTCTGAAGGCAGCCGGGCATGGTGTGGAATTCCCAGGTCTGTGGTTCTTTCACACATCCCCTCCCAACAACTATTCTCATCCCTGAGCTCATTTTCCCATTCCTCAACCTCGCAAATGGCCTCTATTCTGACTTACAGAGATCAAATCCACCCTGAAAGATGGCCTTCAAATATTGTTTAGATTAGGGTTGATGGAGTAGCTCAGGGCTATGGACATTCCACAATGTCAGAGATTCCCTCTTTTTATTTCATTGCTTGACCTTGCCTGACCTCCATTTTCTACACTACCACTTGGTCTAAATGGCTATTCCATCTCCAGCTATCATACTCCCAATCCAACCAACAGGAAAGAGCAGAGATACTATGCACTAAATGTTTGTGTCCCCCTGGAATTCTTGTTGAAATTCTAGCCCCCAATGTGATGGTAAAAGAAAGTGGAGACTTCAGGAGGTGATTACATCATGAGGGTGGAGCCCTCATAAGTGGAATTAGTGCCCTCCCTTCTTAGATATCCCAGCGAGCTAGCTAGCTCCTTCCACCACATGAGGGGTAGTGTAGAAGGCACTGTCAACTGCGATGTGGGCCCTCACCAGACACCAAATCTCCCAGTGCCTTGGTCTTGGACGTGACAGCCTCCACAACTGTGAGAAATAAATGTTTGCTATTTAAGTCACCCAGTCCATGGTGTTTGTTATAGCAGCCTGAACAGACTAGGACAAGGGGGAGAAGAATGGCACGCCCTTTATGTCACAGAAGCTCCTCAAAAGTTGTCCACCTCACTTCCACTGCAAACTATCTAGCTTCAATGAAAGCTGAAACTGCATCTTTCCTAACAGCCAGCTGCTGCGGGGAGGAAATATTATTTATCACAAATGAAAGGAGGAATCGATATTGAGAGTGGCTGTTATTATCTCATTTACTCTTTTTTTTAATCCTCATCTTTAAAATTGCAATTAGCAGTGTTTTCACTCTTTTTTCCTCATATCTTTCCCAGAGGAGGAGATGCCAAATCTCCTTTTTTTTTTTTTTTTTGAGACATAGTCTCACTATGTCACCTTGCGTAGAGTACCATAGTGACACAGCTCACAGCAACCTCAAACTCTTCGGCTTAAATGATTCTCTCGCTTTAGCCTCCCAAGTAGCTGGGACTGCAGGTGCCTGCCACAATGACCAGCTATTTTGTTGTTGTTGTTGTTGTCATTGTTGTTTAGTAGGCCCAGCCCTGGTTCAAATCCACCAGCCTTGCTGTATATGGCTGGTGCCCTAACCCCCTGAGTACTGGCGCCGAGCCCCAAAGCTCCTTCTTAAGGACTCACCGCCAGTCCCCACCTCTCAGAGTCCTGCCTGCCTGGCCCCTCACACAATCCCTGCCAACATCTCCAATCTCCTCCCTCCCTGGTTCACTTCCTGCTCCACACAAACACATGTATCCTGGGTCAAACTTGACCTGAACTTGGTCCTTCCTGGACTGTTCATCTTTCACTGACAAAATTCTCAAACAGGTATCCACACATGCTTCTTCCCCATCCCTTTATCACACCGTCACCTCTTACGGCCCCGCATTTCAGCTCCTTCTCCCACACACTCCCTGCCACTTCAGTGATTACCAGACACCCCGACTCGCCAGACCTTTTTCAGTCCTCATTTGTCCAGGCCAAACTTCTAGGCAGCATCTGATGCTGTTAGCCACTCCCTTCTTGATTTGAATAAAACTAAGATATCCTGATTCTCTTTCACTCTCTCCCTCCTTCACAAGTCCTGCTTTTACTTTACCCCTTCCAAATACTAGCAATTCCTCTCCAATTGAATCCTATTGTTGTTGAGAGACCTGGTTTCCTCTTGTGGCTTCTGCATTCACCTGTACGCAGATGCCTCTCTCATTTCTCCCCAGATTGCCAATCCTACCTGTCCCAGAGCTGGCTTGATACTCCACTTGGATATTTTTCCTGAATTGCAAACTCCAAATGTCTAAAATTTATCCTCTTCCTCTCCAAATCCACCTTCCTCTCCAGATTTCCCCTCTCTTGTCGACCAGGCTCAAATTCTCAGGGCTTCTTTGAGTCCTCCCTGGGTCTCAGCCACTCTCAGCGTAAGAGTAAGGCTGAAGCCCTGGGTACAGGGAGCCGAGAGCTGCTCAGCACCCCCAGGCCGCAGCGGTCCCACCACCCACACTGCAGGTAGTGCTGGTCAGCGTGCCACAGCGTGGTCAGCTTCCTCCGAGTGAGCCCATGTCTTCTATCCCCTCCACCTACCCCAGACTATCTCTTCCTCGAGGGCAGAGACTCACAATCCAAGCATGGAGCTCTGAGCTTCATAGGCAGGCAGTAAATACATGCTGATTGTATTCACGATGATTGTGCGACACAAATCCAGTTTCGTTCTTAGCTCATGGGCCTGTACTAGCCACCACCTAGGGAGCACGGACCAGGCATGAGCTCACTGGATCCTTACAGCCACCCCAGCAAGCAGGGCTTATTACTTCTCTATTACAGCTGGCAAAACCAAAGCTCAGTGAGGTTAAATCAATCACCCAAGCTCACATGGCTAATGAGTAGGAGAGCAAGGGGCCCAACCCGACCCTGCCTATCTGCAGAACACTGCTCTGTGCGCCTTCCTGACCAGGGAGCCTCTGCTGGACGCCTAAGCAGAAGGCGCTTCACAAACGCACCATCTGGATTTCCTGCTTCTTAATACACCTACTGTGAAATGCTGAGGGCAGAGGAATGAAATCACTTTTTAATAAACACGCCATCTAAATCAGGGGCTCTCAAGCTTAGTGCTGTGGCATTGGGAGCAGGACACCCCTGTGCTATGGGGGGCTGTTTGAGCACTACAGGATTTTAGCAGCACCCCTGGCCTCTACCCACGAGATGCCAGCGGCAACTCTTCCCCCAAATTGTGTGACAACCAAAAATGGCTCCGGCGTTGCCAAATGTTCTCTAAGGAGAAAAAACTGGCCCCTGGCTGAAAAGCTCCTCGCTAAATTTTAAGACTTCCTTATCTGAAGAAAACACAAGCCCAAGTACAGAATGCATATATCATAAATAACAAGCTCTTCCCCCCTCAAGAATGTCAGGTACATATTTCAAAGAAATTGTTATTGCCCAGAATAGTTATAAACGTCTCTTTTGGAAGTGCCTTCAGAGCCTGCAAAGACTCATGGTGGCTAGTCCCAAAGAATCATTGCAAAAATATTTTGAAGGTAGAATCATAAGACGGATGCCTCTGAAATTTTCTTTGGATGCCTGAACTCCTGCATGCATCCTCCCACGCCGGCCTCGTCTCTTCACAGCCACGTATTTCTCGGGTTTTGCTTCAAGACTGAGGTGCTGCGGGCTGGCAGTGACTTCCAGCTGGACAGGGAGCTCTACTGGGCCAGAAACTGGCCGGCTCATTTACTGTTATCTCCCCAATGCCCTGCACAGTGCTTGGGCCAGGCAAGGGCCTCTGTGAATGTTAGCTGAGGGAATGAATGAAGGATGGAGGGAATGACTGCTATCTGGCATTCGGTGATTACCAAATAAAGTAACTTGTGCTGTTCGGACAGGTCAATGTCAGAAATAGACAATGTGGACCTCATGGAAAAAAGAAATTGATATGGGAGAAAAATTCCACAATCGTAACAGGAAACCCCAAAATGAATGGACTCTACTCCCTGAAAGAGGAGGGTTTGAATCAACCCCTCCTATAAGAAAGAGGAGGCTTTCTTATATTTCTAACCGGGGCCTTGTTTCCTTTATAACCAACCCAAAGAGAGCAATAACAATGTAGCTACTGGCACTTAAGATCTCACTAAGAACCAAGTATTGTGTGAAGTGTTTTATGCACTTTCTTACTTGACCGTGTTAGCAGCCCCCTGAGCTAGATTCTAGAATCCTTGACCATGAGAACTCACTGAGGCACAATTAAAATTCTCACCATGATTGCACAAGCAGAACGGGGCAAAGGTGGGACTTAAATCTGGGTCAGTCTGAAAACAGCCCATCTCTGTTCACTCCTGCCTGCTACCTTGTAAGGACATAGAGGAATGTCCAAGTTCAAATTGTTCTACGGACTCATTTGACTCATTTATTAAGCACCCACAGGCTTATAATATGCTACGGAGGAACAAAAATTGGCAAATAAACATGGCCTCTGCCATACAGGGACTTGCAATGTGGAGGCTCATAAATCTCTTTAGATAGAAATTCCTCTATAAAGGCCTATGTTGATGGGGGCAGGGGCAATGTTTTCTGAAAATGTGAAGGTCTTTACTTTAAAATAAAAAGGGCTTTGTTTTGGATTTTACCACCCTAAGTCACAAATTCCACTGAAATAAGTAAAAATTAATCCTTTTTACAAAAAATAGCAGTTAAATGTTATCACAAGCATACTTATGTAATAAGTAAAGATTTCGTTGTATTCAGCAAAGCCAAAAGTTCACATTTCAAGAAAAGCAAATCAATCTAGCGACAAGATGACCAATCAATCAACCTTACCCAACATTTTTATGAAAGTTATAACCAAGTCTTTGGTCAATCTTTTATCAATTCATTTCAATCTACCACTGTATTTCCTTTTTTTTTTTTTTAATTAAATCATAGCTGTGTACATTGATGCCGTCATGGGGTACAGTGTGCTGGTTTTATGTATAATTTGAAATATTTTCATCAAACTGGTTAACATAGCCTTCATGGCATTTTCTTATTGTGTTAAGAAATTTGTTATTGTGTTAAGACATTTATATTCTACATTTAGAAAGATTCACATATACCTTTGTAAGATGCACCATAGGCGTGATCCCACCAATCACCCATCCTCTCCCTCCCCTCTCCTCCCTCTCCCCTGTCCCCATATTCTTGGGCTATAATTAGTTTCATAGTAGGGCTGAGTAATTGGATGCTGTTTCTTCCATTCTTAAGATACTTTGCTAAGAAGAATATGTTCTAGCTCCATCCATGTAAACATGAAGGAGGTAAAGTCTCCATCTTTCGTAAAGGCTGCATAATATTCCATGGTGTACATACACCACAATTTATTGAATTCATGGATCGATGGGCACTTGGGCTTCTTCCATGACTTAGCAATTATGAATAGGGCTGCAATCACCATTCTGGTGCAAATATCCTTTTTTGCTTTATGAACATTCTTTTTTGCCCCTTTTAACACGACCCTTCTCAGCATCCCTTCATCCCATGATTCCTGTTCACTTCTTGTTGTCATTAATGTGCAAGTTTGGGGCATAGTTTAAAATCGTAGCTTCCTCACTGACAAACAGAATCAACTGACTCCTCTAGAGGACTAAGTTTATAAAGAGACAAAGGTAAATATAGCTGAAAATATCGAGCACAAAAGAGAAAGAAAGGAAGGATTTAAAATGTATTCTCACTTTACCTGCATTAACATGTCCTCAACGATCAAGAATAACTCTTCTGCTTCGTTGGTCTTGCCCAGAAGCTTCAAAAAACTTGCAATAAAGAACAGTAATCGGCATTTGTCAGCGTCAGTGACCTCAAAAATTCTGCTTTCCAGCACTAGAGTGGAAGAAAGGAGATCATCCTAAAGCATGTGTGGAGAGGAACACCAAGCACCCGTTACTCCATCTTGATGGAGAAGCTCAAGACATGGCCCAGAGTTCAGTTTCTCTCCCAAGGCATCAGCACTTTGCTTTTATGAAGATTTACATTTTAAGTTATGACATGAAAAACAACTAAAAGCCTTTTACATGATCTTGGTATGTAAATTTTGAAAACCAGAGAGTCAAAAAAGAGTATTTACATCGCTCCATCCATGCGTTGCTGTAATTTGTATTTGGGGACTGTTTTCAGGCAACAAGGAAAAGGTATCTAAATTTCTTACACCATTCTGCCCTCTGTTGCAACGATCTTGAATTGCTGAATTTGACAGAAAGAGAATGTTAAAAGAACAAAATAGAGCATCATACCTGGCGCGCGCATGTGTGTGTGTGTGTGTGTGTGTGTGTGTGTGTGTAGCTAAACCTTACTCAAATTAAAACTTGAATTCTTCCTTTTTCTGAGACAGGGTATCCCTCTGCTTCTCAGGCTATAGAGCAGTGGTGTCATCATAGCTCACTCCTGGGTGCAGCAATCCTCCTGCCTTAGCCTCCTGAGTAGCTGGGACTACAGGTTCACACAACCACACCTGGCTAATTTTTTTATTTTTTGCAGAGACAGGGTTTCACTATGTTGCCCAGACTGGTCTTGAACTCCTGAGCTCAAGCCACTCTCCCACCTCAGCCTCTCAGAGTGCTAGGATTACAGGCATGAGCCACTGCCTTGGCCAGGATTTTCAAACTTAAGGACCCAATTAAACGCCTGGTGCTGGCCAGGCACAGTGGCTCAGGCCTGTAATCCCAGCACTCTGGGAGGCCCAGGCAGGTAGACTGCTTGAGCTCAGGAGTTCGAGACCAGCCTGAGCAGGAGTGAGACCTCCCTCTCTATTAAAAATGAAAAACTGAAGCAAGAGGATCTCTTGAGTCCCAGAGTTTGAGGTTGCTGTGAGCTATGATGCCACAGCACTCTACCAAGGATGGTGACAAAGTGAGACCTCTGTCTCAAAAAAAAATAAAAACTTAAAATAAAATAAAAATAAACACATGGTGCTGCAAAGTCCTCATTCTCACAAGCCCCTTTTTCATACACTCCAGTCTGTCTACATTCATTTGTTACATATCAAGTTCCTGCATCTAGTGTGTTTGACACAAATACAGTCGTTGTTCCTTTGTTTATGCTTTAGGCCACCGCAACCTCAAATACCCCCCTGCTTTCCTTCAGCTGCTTTTCTGGGGATCACATTCCTGCACAGAGTAAATGTGCAACAAGCACCTACTGTGCGCCAGGCAGCATTCTAGGCTCCGAGCTACCTACAATAGCAGCTACAGCTGTAGCCCTCAGCACTGCAGTGAGGCCAGAAGCCATGGAGCTTTGAGTCAGAGGGCAAAAAAAATAAAACAGAGCCAGGAGAGAAAGAGAGCGAGCAAGCTGCGGCCCAGCGTACACGATGATTGCTCACAGTGGCTATTCAAGCAAAGGGGCCTGCGGTAGGAAAGAGAATGGAGGGGAAGAACCAAAAGAAAAAGAGCTCAGGACTGAAAGCAGCTGCTCAGAGCAGACAAAAGGTGATTTGGACGAACAGCTGAGCGATGGGCTCCTGTTGGTTCTAGAGTCCTGTCAAGGGCTCAGGTTGGAATGGACAGTGCCACCACTGCGTTTAATACTCCACTACCTCTCATGCTCCAAAAAGCCCTCATCCATACACCCTACCTCCTACCCTTCCCCATCCTCACAGTCACTTGCTCAGCACCAACATATAGTTAGAAAAGATGAGAAGGTAATTTTTTTTCTTTTTTTTTTGAGAGTCTTGTTCTTTTGTTCAGGCTAGAGTGTAGTGGCATCATCATAGCTCTCTGCAACCTCAAGCTCCTGGACTCCAGCAATCCTCTTGTCTCAGTCTCCTAAGTGGTTGGGACGATAGGCATACGCTATCATAATTTTTTACTAATGAGTAGAGATGGGGTCTTGCTGTTGCTCAGGCTGGCCTCCAACTCCTGAGCTCAAGTGATCCTCTCACCTTGGCCTCCCAGAGTGCTAGGATTACAGGTGTGAGCCACCACATCCAGCCCCGAGAAAGCAATTTTTGTCATTACAATATGTGTACATCGTAGAAAAACTGGAAAATACAGAAAAGTATGAAGAAAAATTAAAACCACCCATAACTGCATCAAAGACAATCCCTGTTAACAAATTGCTGTATTGACTCCTGATCTTTTGTATGTAACCACACACACATATTTTATAAAATTAAAATTGGGATCATCATATACATAATGTTTCACATTTACTTTATTTACTGATTTGTTTTGAAACAGGGTCTTGCTCTGTTGCTCAGGAGGGAGTGCAGTGATGTCATCATTGCATCATTGTTCATTACAACCTTGAACTCTTTGGCTCAAGTGATCCTCCTGCCTCAGTCTCCTGAGTAGCTAGGACTATAAGCGTCCACCACCATGCCTAGCTAATTTTCTTTTTTTTTTGAGACAAAGTCTCACTTGATGCCTGAGTAGAATGCCATGGTGTCATCGCTTACAGCAACCTCAAACTCTTGGGCCCTTGCTTCAGCCTCCCAAGTAGCTGGGACAACAGGTGCCCACCACAACATCAGGCTAGCTTTTCTATTTTCAGTGGAGACTGGGTCTTGCTCTAGCTCAGAGTGGTCTTGAATTCCTGAACTCAGATGATTCACCTGCCTCAGCCTCCCTAGAATGTTAATATTATAAGCGTCAGCCACCATGCCCAGCACCCTGGCTAATTTTTTTAATTTTTTATAGAGATGAGGTCTTGCTGTATGGCCCAGGCTGGTCTTGAACTCCTGACCTCAAGCAATCCTCCTACCTTGGCCTCCCAAAGTCCTTGGATTCTTGGATTATAGATATGAGCTGCCCAGCCAAAATTTACTTTTTCACTTCCATATTCAAAAAATATTCATGCTATCAGTGCTAGATGTTGGATATATATCAAACACAATATATATGGCTCTTGCTCTCAATGGAACTTAAAAATCTATCAAAAACATAATGTGAAGATTTTCCTATATTCTTTGAGAACATACAGGCTATGACTGGAAACGCTGCATTTTGTACATTACCATTAGTCAATTTTTCACTATTACAAAATGTTATCTAACGAGGATTATTGGCAAAAATCTTTTTAAATATCCCTAATTACTTCTTAGAACAATTTTTAGAAATTGAAAACCGCAGTATTAGTATTTTAAAGACTTTGATATACACTGCCAAATTGCGCCCCAGAAAGATATACATTCTTACCTGTAGCATGGAACAGTACTTATTTCCTCACATCTTCATCACTATTATTAGTTTTAAAAATCATTCCCAATTTGGCACCTAAAAACATCATCCTACTATTGTTTTAATTTGTACTTCTTTGAGTAGTACTCAAATAGAATATTGTAACATCTATTTTTATTTTTTTTGAGACAGAGTCTCACTATATCACCCTCAGTAGAGTGCTGTGGCATCACAGCTCACAGCAACCTCAAATTCTTGGGCTCAAGTGATTCTCTTGCCTCGGCCTTCCAAGTAGCTGGGACTACAGGTGCCTGCCACAATGCTCAGTTATTTTTTTGTTGCAGTTGTCATTGTTATTTAGCTGGCCCAGGCCGGGTTTGAACCCGCCACCCTGGGTGCATGTGGCTGGCACTGTAACCATTGTGCTATAGGCGCAGAGCTATATTGTAACATTCATTAACAATTTATATCACGTTTCAGGCTGGGCATGGTGGCTCACACTTGCAATCCTAACATTCTGGGAGGCCAAGGTGATGGATCTCCGGAGCTCAGGAGTTCAAGATTAGCCTGAGTTACAGCAAGACCCCATCTCTACTAAAAATGGAAAAACTAACCCAGATTTATGGTAGGCACCAAGAAGCTGAGACAAGAGGATCACTTGAGCCCAAGAGTTTGAGGTTGCTGTGAGCTATGACGCCATGGCACTCTACCCAGGATGACACCATGAGATGCTATCTCAAACAAAAATTTTATTTTGTGTTTCATTAACTCTAAGATGCCACTAAATGCAAGATGCATACCTATTTCAGAAAAGTTAAGTTTTGGGAGAGCATGCATCTTAGAAACAATGAAATCTGTTATTTCTTCTTTAGTGAATTCATTTCTCTGACCAATCATTTTACTGGTTGGACCAACCAGACCAGCCATTGCCTGACTCTGAGCACCCGCTGTGAGCCAGGCACTGTCCTGGGTGCAGAAGATAAAAAATAAGCCCCATCAGACTCAGGCCCCTTTGGGCTATCAAAATAATGAGAGATACAGACCATCTCATAATTATACAAGGGAATATAATCATTAAAACTGTGAAAAGAAGCCGGATATTGTGGAGGGTGCCTGTACTCCCAGCTACTTGGGAGGCTGAGGCAAGAGAATCGCCTAAACCCAGGAGTTGGAAGTTGCTGTGAGCTGTGACACCATCCACGCTCTACTGAGGGTGATAAAGTGAGACTCTGTCTCTAAAAAAAAAAAAAAAAACTATGAAAAGAATCATGAAAGAAATGGTGCTATAAGACAGGGAAGATTTCTCCATGACATGACAACTGAACTGAATAAATAAAGAATAGAAGGTTTTGAGGCAAAATGGGGAGAGAGAATGTGGGACATTCTGGGCAGAAAGAACAGCATGTGTGAAGGCTCTAGGGCAGGAAAAAAACATGGCACTAAAAAACTGAAAGGAAGAAAGCAAGGGCATTCAATTCTAGATAAGCCTGGAGACACAGGAAGGGGAAAGGACCACCCAGGCCGATGAGCAGAGAAGAAGGGTCCTCCCCTCAAGGAGCGTACAGTCCAGTGACCGGAAGTGTGGGTGTTGTACACAAGGAAGGGAAAGGAGAAATAGAAAAAGGGTTTTTTCTATTTTTCTCTAAAAGAGGAAGGAAGACACTGTAGGGTAGTAGTAAAAGCTAACCAAAGAATGAAAACACATTA